GACCCCAATGATCCCACTGACCCCATAGACCCCATAGACCCCCCCCCCACACACCCCACTGAACCCCACTGACCCCACAGACCCCATGCATGCACCCCACCGACCCCACAGACCCCACACAGGCACCCCACAGACCCCACTGATCCCGCAGACCCCACCAACCCCACAGACCCCGCAGACCCCACAGACCCCGCAGACCCCATAGACCCCACACACGCACCCCACTGAACCCCACTGACCCCACAGACCCCACACATGCACCCCACAGACCCGACAGACCCCCCCAACCCCACAGACCCTACACATGCACCCCACCAACCCCACAGACCCCTCTGACACCACCAGCCCTACAGACCCCACCAACTCCACCGACCCCATTGACTCCACTGACCCCACAAATCCCACACATGCACCCCACCGACCCCACAGACCCCATCAACCCCACAGACCCCACCGACCCCATGAACCTTACAGACCCCACAGACCCCACAGACCCCCCCAACCCCACAGACCCCACACATGCACCCCACAGACCCTGCACGTCCCACAGACCCCACTGACCCCACCAAACCCCCACAGACCCCACTGACCCTGCAGATCCCACTGACCCCACAGACTCCCCCAACCCCATGCATGCACCCCACTGACCCCGCAGACCCCACCGACCCCCCCAACCCCACAGACCTCACAGACCCCGCAGACCCCATTGACCCTACAGACCCCACAGACCCCATTGACCCCACAAATCCCGCAGACCCCACGCACGCACGCAACCCCTCTGCAAAGCTGACCCACAAGTGGGGCACAAAATGGCGGCCCGGCCCCCCCCCACCCATGGGTGAATCCCCACAATGGAGTCACCCGTGGGCGCCCCCCCCAGGAGGACCCCGCAGCCCCTTCCCTGGTGGTCTAGTGGTTAGGATTCGGCGCTCTCACCGCCGCGGCCCGGGTTCGATTCCCGGTCAGGGAAAAATTGCTTTCCAGAGAAACTCCACCCCGCATCTTTTTCTCTATTTATTTTCTGGATGCGGATCCGGCCCTGAAAGCACATATTTGGTTTGGAGGGGTGAGCCGTTCCACCGCATCCCAGCCCTTTTAGCAAACCTAAATACCAACACACCCCCATCACCTCCCCGACAGCGCGTGCAAACCCCTTTATTTCCCCCCACCTCCAAACACCCTCGACTGGCAGCTCGTTAAACCCTAAGCGGGATCATTAACGAAGAGAAAGGCGTCGGACGGCTGCGAGATGCTGCGGGCCTCGCATTTATTGCCACGGTCATCGCGCACGCCTTGGTTCCTTTGCGTCGCTTCGGGGGGCTTTTAGCCCCTTCTCTCCCTTTGGGGTTGGGGTCGCCTCACCCCCTCTCCTGCCCCCCCCCCCCCCCCCCCACAGGTGGGTTTGGGGAGGGATGGGGCCGAGCTGTCAGCGCCCCCCGGCCGCGCGCTTCCAGCCCTTGGGCATCACGCGCTGCAGGGCGGCGCGCACATGCGCGGGTCCCACGGTGGGACGTCGGCTCTCCCTCCTCAGCCTCTCGGCTTCCCTCTCCACCCTCCTGCAGATGTCCCTTAGGAAAGCCACCATCAGCGCTTGGGCTTCGCGGGACAGGAGCCTGCCGTCCTGCCTGAGCGTCTGGCCGGGGTCGAAGGAAAAGCCGGGGGATCTTTTCTTCTGCCTCCCTTTGGGTTTGGGTTTCCTTTTCCTGTCGAATTTCACCCTCTTGACTGAGGGTCCCCTGCTTTCAGCCTTCTGACGCCTTCTTTTCTGGGGTCCCCCCCTCGGCCGGGGTCCCTTCCCCTTTTGGGGTCTTCTTTTCCTTCCCTCCGCGGACACCATGGCTCAGCTGGACCCCCAGAATCCAATGGAATTCTCCGCCCGTCCCCCTTCTATGCAAATCAGCATGCAAACGAGGAGCCCCGAGATTGGCCGAAGGAGCAATACCCCCCCCCAACCCCCCAACCTCCCCCCAACCCCCCCCCAACCCCCAAACCCCCCCCCCCAAAGGGAGCAACACCCAAGGGGGTTCCTTGGCTCCCCATGACGGCCGGGCACCCAATTAACCCCAATTAACACACGATGGGGAAATGGAGCTGATGGCGCCTTTTTGGGGTGTGGAGGAAATGGACCCAAATCCCTCGGATCCAAACGTCCGTCCTCGGCTTTGCAATCATCACCAAACCCGGCTCTGCCCATCAGCTGCCAGGCAAATGACGGCTAATTGCTTCGTTAACGAGTCCACCCGAATCCACCCAGTGGCGGCTGCCCAGCTTGGCTCCAAAGGGGCCGAGCCCGCGTTCATTAACAAAACCACTCATTAATTACCGTCAAGGCCCAAACAGAGTTGGCAAAAGGCTGATTAGCATAATTTATTGCCTGCTAATGAGTGACGGAGCTGAACAACGGGAACTAGGAGCAAATCCTGGCCGCCCTGTGCAACATATGGGGGTTTTTTGTACCATAAATGCATGAAATCGACCCAGGGAGCCGCAGGATGGCGGCCCTGAGGCTCTGCTCCCCTTCGTTTGCCCTCATTAAACCTAATTGATCCACATTTATCCTTCCAGTCCATCAGCGTTGATCCAAACTCATTCTCCTCGTTTACCCACATTCATCCCCATTCGCCCTTCAGCCGTGCCCAAATTCGCCCTCCTCGCTCTTCTAATTAACCCCAACCCGCCCAATTAACCCAAACCCGTCCAATTAACCCAAGTCGATCCTCCCGATTGCCCCAAACTCCCCCCCCCCCCCCCCCCCAAAGGACCCCTGCCCCCATCCCATGTGTCGCAATGGGATTCGATGGCAGCCGTGCTTCCAGTCACCCTGGCGGAAGCAGCAGCAGGAAGATGGCAGGAACTCGTTATGCAATTAAAAGCTGCTCGTGCCCTGGCAGTGAAGCCGCTCTGTGCTGATCTCTGATTCCTCACCCAATCAAACCACCCCTCTGAAATCCCCTCTGCTCCCAGCGACGTCAGCAAGGCTCCCCTCCATGCAGTTCCCACATCGATCCAGGAATCCCTGCTTCATCCGCAGCTCCGACGGCGTTGGGTTCGGGTTCGACAGCGGGGAGGAGAGGATGGGTTCTGTTAAATAGGGGGGCATGGGGACGAAGCCCCCTGAGGAGCAGGGATGCAACCCTCGGGCCGTCCTTAGCGGGGCTGATCCATGGGCATCCACCATTGGTTTTAATGGGAGCACAGGGGGAGGTTTGTGGGCTGGTGGAGGGGGGGGATGAGGAGGGAGCAGCCCTGCGAGGAGCCCAGCTTGCCAAATTCGCCCTCTCACCACCCATAGCACCGCAGGGAAAACCCACACCCTGACTTCTTATAGGGAAAAACCCATGGCAGGCAACGTTGTGAAACCTTGCTGTGCAACCCATTTACCAGCACTGGGAGAAGCCCCAGCTCAGCAGGAAGCTCAGATGGGCTTTGAGGCCCATAGGGGCAGCCTTCAGGTCCTTCCCGACCCCTTTTAGGATTGGGGGCTCCCTCCGTTCCGTGACCATAAGCAGAAAACCCACAGCTTCCAGCTTCCACCCCATCCACCAAAGCGCGGCTCCTCACCCCCGTGGTTCAGCAGAACCCGTTAAGGGGGCATTAATTAAAGCAATAAATGGAGCTGAGCGCGGGGGAAATCCCTGCTGCTGGAAGAAACCGAAAGAAAATAATCATAATTAAAGAAAAATGAGGTACTGAAAGGAGCCAGGAAAGGAGGAGCAGAGCTGCGCTGTGGGGCCTGCGGGGCTTTTATGGCCGCGGCATCGGGGTGGCCGTGGGGGGGAATTCCCAGCTTCTGAGTGCAGATTTGGGCTCTGACGCCAGCAGAGCCGAAAGCTTTGGAGAAAACGAATGATTTCTTGTATTTAAAGGGAAAGAATTGAGATAGGAGAAAATGGCAGCGTCCCGCTTCGGGCATTTGGGCCGAGGCGCCTCTTGGTTTCCCTCTGAGCCAATGGAGGGAAGGCCAGCGTGGCCCTGGGATGCTCCAGATTTGGGATGGATTTCCATCTTTTCGGATGGGTTTCCACCTGGAGATGCCACTGTCGCCATTGCAAGGGATGTTCCAGGTGGGTTTCCATCTGGGGAAGCCACCATCAGGACCAGAAGGGACATTTGGGATGGATTTCCATTCTGGATGCCACCAGAAGGGACATTTGGGATGGATTTCCATTCTGGATGCCACCAGAAGGGACATTTGGGATGGATTTCCATTCTGGATGCCACCAGAAGGGACATTTGGGATGGATTTCCATTCTGGATGCCACCAGAAGGGACATTTGGGATGGATTTCCATTCTGGATGCCACCAGAAGGGACATTTGGGATGGATTTCCATTCTGGATGCCACCAGAAGGGACATTTGGGATGGATTTCCATTCTGGATGCCACCAAAAGGGACATTTGGGATGGATTTCCATCATTCTGGATGCCACCAGAAGGGACATTTGGGATGGATTTCCATTCTGGATGCCACCAAAAGGGACATTTGGGATGGATTTCCATCATTCTGGATGCCTCCATCAGGACCAGAAGGGACATTTGGGGTGGATTTCCATTCTGGATGCCACCAGAAGGGACATTTGGGATGGATTTCCATTATTCTGGATGCCACCAGAAGGGACATTTGGGATGGATTTCCATTTTGGATGCCACCATCACGACCAGAAGGGACATTTGGGATGGATTTCCATCTTTCTGGATGCCACCATCACGACCAGAAGGGACATTTGGGATGGATTTCCATTTTGGATGCCTCCATCAGGACCAGAAGGGGCATTTGGGGTGGATTTCCATTCTGGATGCCACCAGAAGGGACATTTGGGATGGATTTCCATTCTGGATGCCACCAAAAGGGACATTTGGGATGGATTTCCATTCTGGATGCCACCAGAAGGGACATTTGGGATGGATTTCCATTCTGGATGCCACCAGAAGGGACATTTGGGATGGATTCCCACCTGCAGACGCCTCCATCACGACCAGAAGGGAAATTCCAGGTGCCCTCTGTGCCTCCTGATGACCACATCCCACGAATGGGCGGCTGGTGCTCGAAGGAGGTGAGTAAAAAGGAAAACAACAGTAAAAGCAAACACAAAAGAAGCCAACGTGAGCTCAGCCGCCGCTTCCCCTTCTTACGACACCGCTGCTCTGCTTTCTTCCGGGATGGACTTTTTTTTTTCCCCCTTCTTAAGCCAGGGTATAAAATGGAAACTGATCCCAGCAGGGGAGTCGCTGCCTGCTGCAACCATGGCTGCGATGGGTGGTGAGTGCTTCCCCCTCGGGGTTACGGCTCCCTTCCTCCTGCTTTCCTCCAGCATCCCTTCGGCGTCGCCTCAAGGCCCCGACCCCAAAGCTTCCCGTCTCTCTGCTCTGTTTTACGACCCCGTAGAGTTCAGGTATTTGGGGTTGGCACGTTGGATGGGATCCCCACTGTCTTCTCACAGCCTTTAGGGTCACTGTGTTGGGTAGGATGGAGATCTCTTGACCCCCATAGAAGATCTTTGTCTTCCACATCACCCTATAGGTTGTGGGGTTGGCACGTTGGATTGGGATGGAGATCTGTTGACCCCCAGAAAGGATCTTTGTCTTCCACATCACCCTATAAGTTGTGGGGTTGGCACGTTGGATGGGATCCCCACTGTCTTCCCACAGCCTTTAGGGTCACTGTGTTGGGTGGGATGGAGATCTGTTGACTCCCATAGAAGATCTTTGTCTTCCACATCACCCCACAGCCTTTAGGGTTGGCACATTGGATGGGATGGAGATCTCTTGCCCCAAAGAAAGGATCTCCTTCATCTTCCACACCACCCCACAGTATTTGGGGTTGGCACGTTGGATGGGATCCCCACTGTCTTCCCACAGCCTTTAGGGTCACTGTGTTGGATTGGGACGGAGATCTCCTCACCTCCAGACCTCCTGTGCTCCCCACGTCGTCCAAAAGAATTTGGGGTTGGTTGGATTGGGATGGAGATCTGTTGACCCCCATAGAAGATCTTTGTCTTCCACATCACCCCACAGCCTTTAGGGTTGGCATGTTGGATGGGATGGAGATCTGTTGACCCCCAGAAAGGATCTTTGTCTTCCACATCACCCTACAGGTTGTGGGGTTGGCATGTGGGATGGGGCGGAGATCTTTTGACCCCCAGAAAGGATCTCCATGGTCTTCTACATCACCCCACAGCCTTTAGGGTTGTCACATTGGATGGGATGGAGATCTCTTGCCCCCCAAAAAGGTTCTCCTTCATCTTCCACACCACCCCACAGTATTTGGGGTTGGCACGTTGGATGGGATCCCCACTGTCTTCCCACAGCCTTTAGGGTCACTGTGTTGGGTGGGATGGAGATCTCTTGCCCCCCATAGAAGATCTTTGTCTTCCACATCACCCTATAGGTTGTGGGGTTGGCATGTGGGATGGGGCAGAGATCTCTTGACCCCCAGAAAGGATCTCCATGGTCTTCCACATCACCCCACAGCCTTTTAGGGTTGTCACGTTGGATGGGATGGAGATCTGTTGACCCCCATGGAAGATCTTTGTCTTCCACATCACCCCACAGCCTTTTAGGGTTGTCACGTTGGATTGGGATGGAGATCTGCTGACCCCCAGACAGGATCTTTGTCTTCCACATCACCCTATAGGTTGTGGGGTTGGCACATTGGATGGGATGGAGATCTCTTGCCCCCCACAAAAGACCTCCTTTGCCTTCCTCCCCACCCCACAGCGCTCAGGGAGGGACGGAGGCCTCCTGATCCCTAAAGGAGATCCTTGCCTTCCACAGCACCCGAAGGTGCTGGGGGTCACGGCGCTGGGCGGGATGCAGGGAGCTCCAAGCCGCATCAGGACGCTGCCCTTCGGGGAGGCCGGGGCAGGGATGGCGTTGGATCAGGACAATTAGCGCCGTTTTCCTGCATCCATTTCAGCCGCGCTTTTAAGGCAGCCCTGCTGTTAGCCGTGCTAATTACAGCAGCCGCTCTCTAATTACTTCGCATGAACATCATCGGCACCTCCAGGAAAGCGAGGCTGATCCTACAGCTCTGAGAAATCGCCTCCAGGGGAGCAGCCCTGGGCTCCGACCGCTGCCCATGACCTCGGATGGGGGCCGGTCCAGCCGGGCTCTGCTTTCAACACAGTTTTATCCCATGAATGAAAGATGACTCACGATGCTGTTACAAAAGATACTGGCTTTTATTTTTGTTGTTCCTCCTCCTCTTCTTCCTCATCTTCTTTCCCCAGAAAACCCGCCGGGGTTTTTGTTCGCACTTCTGTCCCTTACCTTCACCTGCGTGGTGTCTTCCTTATGCACCGCAATCCGTGTAAGATCGCGGCTTACAGGTGTAAAATCCCTCTGCGCCACCCCTCCTCCCTCCACTGTGCCGCCCTTAAGGGTTAAAGAATGGGATAAAATCGCCGTGACGGGGAGGAGGCAGCGGGCAAAGCCGTCCAGCCGCCCGAATCGCCTCCCTTTCCTCGCACGCGGACGATGCTTAATTACCGCCCCTCGTTAGCCCTCTTCCGAACGCTTCTTCTACTGGGACTCGCCGGCGCCAAGAGGTTCCCGTGCTTCCCTGAGTATTGCCTCCGTGACCGGGACTACGAGGAGCTGCTGGGCATCGTGAAGCACGGGCTGGAGCCCACGAGGCGCCCGTCCGACGTGGTCGTGGTCGGGGCTGGGATCAGCGGGCTGACGGCGGCCAAACTGCTGCGGGACGCCGGCCATAAGGTGGGGGGGGGCGAGTTTTAGGGGATGGGGTGCTGGTAGCAAAGGGTTGCCAGCAGGGAGAGGGAAGACATCGATTCTGGGGAGGGGGAAGGGGGAGATTCGATGCACTGCTGGGGGATCGATGCATTACTGGGGGATCGATGCATCGCTGGGGGATCGATGCAGTGCTGGGGGATCGATGCAGTGCTGGGGGATCGATGCATTGCTGGGGGATCGATGCAGTGCTGGGGGATCGATGCATTGCTGGGGGATCGATGCATTGCTGGGGGATCGATGCATTGCTGGGGGATCGATGCACTGCTGGGGGATCGATGCATTGCTGGGGGGATCGATGCATTGCTGGGGCATCGATGCAGTGCTGGGGGATCGATGCATCGCTGGGGGATCGATGCATTGCTGGGGGATCGATGCATTTCTGAGGGGATCAATGCATTGCTGGGGGGGAATCGCTGCATTTCCAGGTTGGCTTGCTGGAAGAACCCCAAACCCCCATTTTCCATCTGTCCCCTTTCCAGGTGACCGTTCTGGAAACCAGCGATAGGGTGGGTGGGAGGATCAGGACGTACCGTGAGAAGGATTGGTACGTGGAGCTGGGAGCCATGCGCCTGCCCAGCAAACACAGGTGAGCTGCAATCCTCCGTCCTTCGCAGGGCTGGGGGTCTGCAAGTCACGACCCCAAAAGTCGGCTGAGATCCCCCCAGTTGGGCACCCAACCGTTGTGTGAGGAGCCAAGCAGGGCATCAGCCAAAATGCCGTGGGAAGAAGCCATGGGGCGCCCTGAACTCAACATGGCGTGGGATCAGAGCCCTCCTCCTCTTCCAGGGGAAGAAATAAATCTCTTTGGCTCTCTCCCACCAATTCTGCATCAACTCTTGCTCCCCATGGCATCCCTGCGGGTCTCTCCTTTCCCTGTGCATTGAGGCAGCAAAAATACAGAGGTCGGAGTGCCTGGAAAACCCAAAATCTGTGCTTAAAAGCCAAAGCTTTTGGTGGCTGCGCCGACGCCGCCGATGCGGAAACGTCCTCCAACGCCAAAATCAAACGCATGGAGGTTCCCAATGGGAAAACGGCCGTTCCTGGGATTCTCTGGGAGGCTTCAGCAGCGCCTCTCACCTCCTCTGCTCCCTTCCAGGCTGGTGCGTGAGTTTATAAAGCAGTTTGAGCTGAAGCTCAACCCGTTCCACCAGACGGATGACAACGCCTGGTATTTTGTGAACGGCATCCGAGCCAAAGTGGCAGAAGTGAACAGGAACCCAGACATCCTGAATTACACCCTGAGGCCGGCGGAGAGGGGAAAAAGCGCCAGCCAGCTCTACAGGGAAGCTCTGCACTCGGTAGGAGGCCACGGAGCCGACCCTGTTGGCGTGGGGTCATCGGGAGGAGCTCGGCCCCTCACCAAACCCCACGCTGGCACCTCAGGTCCCAGAGAACAGAATTGCATTGGGAAACGCTCTTCTTTTTTTGGGCTGCCTCCTCGACTCCATCAATATTTATTTCCCCTGCAGGCTTTCAAGCAGTTCCAGACCACGGACTGCAAGGAGTACCTGGCTAAACACGACTCCTTCTCCACCAAGGTAATGGGCCGTTCGCAGGGGGTGAATCCTTGCCATCCAGCGGGTGGAGAAGGGGGCAGATGGGGTCCAAAATTCCCACTTTGCTCACCCTGAGATCCGCCCGCCTCCATTGGAGGAGGCACCGACCCACCAGGGCCGCATCCCGATGGATCCAAGCGGATCAGGGCACAGATTTTGGCTGGGGGTCGGCGCCGCGCGGAGGCGATGACTTCGGGCCCCGACTTCTTCTTGGATCCTGTAGGAATATTTGATTAAAGTTGGGAATCTGAGCCGGGGAGCTGTGCAGATGATCGGAGATTTGCTCAACGAGGAGTCGGGCTTCTATCTGTCCTTCCTCGCCTCGCTGTGGGATTTCGACATCTTCTCTCATGGGGAGAGGTGAGACTTCGTTTCTTATGGGGGGAGGAAGGCATCGTTACTTATGGGGGGAGGAAGGCATCGTTACTTATGGGGGGAGGTCAGACATGATTTCTTATGGGGGGAGGTGAGACATGGTTTCTTATGGGGGGAGGTGAGACATCATTACTTATGGGGGGAGGTCAGACTTCGTTTCTTATGGGGGGAGGAAGGCATCGTTTCTTATGGGGGGAGGTGAGACATGGTTTCTTATGGGGGGAGGTGAGACATCGTTACTTATGGGGGGAGGAAGGCATTGTTTCTTATGGGGGGAGGTGAGACATGATTTCTTATGGGGGGAGGTCAGACATCATTACTTATGGGGGGAGGTCAGACTTCGTTTCTTATGGGGGGAGGAAGGCATCGTTTCTTATGGGGGGAGGTGAGACATGATTTCTTATGGGGGGAGGTGAGACATGATTTCTTATGGGGGGAGGTGAGACATGATTTCTTATGGGGGGAGGTCAGGCATGGTTTCTTATGGGGGGAGGAAGGCATCGTTTCTTATGGGGGGAGGTCAGACTTCATTTCTTATGGGGGGAGGTGAGATATCGTTACTTATGGGGGGAGGAAGGCATCGTTTCTTATGGGGGGAGGTCAGACATCGTTACTTATGGGGGGAGGAAGGCATCGTTTCTTATGGGGGGAGGTGAGACTTCATTTCTTATGGGGGGAGGTGAGACATGGTTTCTTATGGGGGGGAGGTAAGACATCATTACTTATGGGGGGAGGAAGGCATCGTTTCTTATGGGGGGAGGTCAGACATCACTTCTTATGGGGGGAGGTCAGACTTTTGCCTCCCTTGGAGCTGCTCTACGAAAACGCGATGAAATAGGAAATTTTAGCGCCGTTTCGATGCCCGAATGGAACGTTTCCCCTCCCTCAGAGGGTCTCTGCAGGAGGGATTTCACCACCCCGACCCCTTGCAGGGAGGTTCAAAACCCTCCTCTTTCCCTTCTTCTCCTCCCTTCCAGCTTCGACGAAATCACCGGAGGTTTCGACCAGCTGCCCAAAGCCTTCCACAAAGCGCTGCCGGGCGCCGTCAGGCTCAACTGCACGGTGGAAAAGATCATGACGAAGGGAGGGAAGGTGAGGGTGTTCTACCGCGCTCCCGATACCCTCGCCCCCAGCATAGAGACTGCAGACTACGTCCTCGTCACCTCCTCGGCCAAAGCCACCAGGCACATCCAGTTCTTCCCACCTCTCTCCCCTACCAAAAACGACGCCCTGCGCTCCATCCACTACGCCAGCGCTTCCAAAATCGCTTTGGCTTGCACCGAGAAGTTCTGGGAGAAAGACGGCATTCGAGGAGGGCAATCCATCACCGACCGCCCCTCCAGGTTCATCTACTACCCCAGCCACAACTTCTCCAGCGGGGTCGGGGTCGTCTTGGCCTCCTACACCTGGAACGACGACGCCGAGTTCCTCGCGCCTTTGGCGGACGAGGAATACCTGGATCTGGTCCTCCAGGACCTGGCGGACATCCACCAGGTGAGCAAGAGTTACCTGCAGTACGCCTGCGACCGCTACGTCATACAGAAGTGGCAGCTGGACAGGCATTCGCTGGGAGCCTTCGCTGCCTTCACGCCCTACCAGTTCACCGATTACTCGCGGGCCCTCTTTGAGCACGAGGGCAGGGTGCATTTTGCAGGAGAGCACGCGGCCCAGCCGCACGCCTGGATCGACACGGCCATGAAAGCGGCCGTGAGGGCGGCCAGCAACATCCACGACGACAGCGAAACCCAAAGCCTTCGCCTCGGCCCCCCGGAGGGCGGCGGGGAAAAGGGGGAGCTGTGAGCTGCCGGGGTTGGGGGTTGCAACGTTCTTTTGGGTGAGGTCCATCCCTTTCCATGAAGATTCGGCCAACAGCGCGTTGGCAGGAAAGGTGTTAAAGGAAAATAATTGAGGGGAAAAGCAATACGTCCTCATATGGGATGCTGGCAGCCTCCTGGTCCAACGCTCGGGAAAGCGGGGGATGCCTGAAAGAGAGCCAGCTTCACGTAGGTCCTGCGGCCTCGACGCAACGCGGAGAGTCCCAGTTTGTGCAGGGAACGGCGCTGGTGGAATAAAATCATCCTTTCCCACTCTCTTGCTTCTTTCGTGCCCCCATCCCCCCATAGAGAGGGGCCTCGTGGCGGATATTTCATCCCACCTCCCTTCGGCCGTGTAGGAACTCATCGGCTTTCATCAGGCTCCTCCTCCCCTTCCAGAGTTTGGGAGATAATTCATTGCTCCTGAGTTGTCTTCTCTCTGCATAGTCCAACCCCACTGCTCCCAATCCAACCCCACTGCTCCCAACTCAACCCTATGGCTCCCAACCCAACCCCAGAGCTCCCAACCCAACCCCACTGCTCCCAACCCAACCCAATGGCTCTCAACCCAACCCCACAACTCCCAACCCAACCCTATGGCTCCCAACCCAACCCCACAGCTCCCAACTCAACCCCATGGCTCCCAACCCAACCCAATGGCTCTCAACCCAACCCCACAACTCCCAACCCAACCCTATGGCTCCCAACCCAACCCCACAACTCCCAACCCAACCCCATGGCTCCCAACCCAACCCTATGGCTCCCAACCCAACCCCACTGCTCCCAACCCAACCCCACAACTCCCAACCCAACCCCACTGCTCCCAACCCAACCCCACAGCTCCCAACCCAACCCCACAGCTCCCAGCTCATCACTCCTCTTGCATCCCAACACGGCAGATCTCAAGTCATCCTTCTCTTTGTATCACCCAACACCACTCCATCCAACCACCATCAGGATAAGACCCGGATCCCCACCCCCACCCCCCACCCCCCCTCTCTTCC